ATAAACAGACACAGACTTGGCGATGATTACGTCAACAACTTATAATCGCTAACTGTGTGCATTTGCCGCTTGCAGTAAAATGACGTAAATACATTATTTGGACTTAAATTTATATTCTTGAATCCACCGGTTACAGTAGGGGTCACCACCCTGTCTTGATATTGAATATGCATTTGTCCTGGAATTCAAAGTTAACGGAGATATAAAATTGAATGGGGAATTCAGTTGTCATAAAACCTGCATAACCTTTTTATCCTAAATCCAAGTTGTGCATTACCTATGATTTTCTAATAGAGGAGGGCAATTGTTCCCCTTTTTTTATGAAGAGACAGTGTTGCCTCACGCAATAATATATTCAGCGCCGCTAATCTAAAGCCGCTTTAAAATAAAGGACACGATTTTCACAATACGGAAGTTGACTTCTATTTGGAAAACGAAAACACTTTTGGAGTGCATTGTTTTGCATAGGTCTGCTATAATTTTAACAAATTGCTATACCTTCGGTATGTTTGTTAACTGCGTTTATTAATTTTCTACGTTATGCGCGGTCAAAGCTTCCCGCATTTCCAAGTTCATGCAAAATGCGTCATCAACTACAATTGCGCTTTTTGTGCTCTGTTTTATTCAGGGTTAATAAAGGACCGTTGTGCTGAAAGCGTAGGAAATACACTATGTAGCTGCAGTAAAATAGAAACTACGAAAGCAGCATGCATAAAAACGCGTTTAGAAATGACGCGTGGGAACTGGCAGTATGATGCGATACTGAAAATTGTGTGCACCTGAAAGAATATGAGCCGAGGGACACAAGATCATCTCGTATTTCCCATCGAGTTGGATGCTGCACATTACAAAAACGAATGCGTTTTCTTTTACGTGAAAGAGTACTTTCCTTCATTGTGTTGTCATGGTGAACACACTCTAAAGCAAAACATATAAATAGAGATAAAAGGCAAGGCATGCAGCCCCAATACGATTTTAATATCGCGCGTACATTGGACAACTTGGTAATTTTGATTTACTTGTGCTCACTGGATAGTTAAGTGTATGACAGCGCTAGATTACCTCTAACGCAATAGTTGAGTAAAATGCTAGTTGGCTAATCAAAGGATACAGGAAATATCTAATTTATTTTTCAAAGCTTGGTTTTCTTTCGATACAGTCGTGGAAAAAGTTAAAATTGGGATATCGATAAGCATGATAAATAACCAAGTAAGACGTTACTTTACACACAGGGCAGATCCCGCGTCAGTGATTTAATTGAATACCCCACTTGTGATTATGGTTTTCACACAGCAGTTAATCTGTTTTTAACCGTGTAATGAAGTCGGCTGCAACGCACTTATCTAACGGTTGGTTCATGGTACGCGGCTGTGTACTCGTACGCAAATTATTTGTGAGCTCCAAAATATTAAATCATGACATGCGTGTCCTGAATATAATAGTTGTTGGCTTATCCATTACTCTTACGCGAATGTTTGAACTGGTCTACGAACTCGACGTTGATCCCAATGCTTTCCTCTCCTTCGATGTTGGTTCCGCATGAGACGTTCTTCATCAACTTATTTCCATCCACACAAAATACTTCCATCAGCCACCGAAAAAAAAATCATTTTCTTCACGCGATTTGTCGTCCTGCTAGGCCTACTCTCAATCTGTCAGTCCTCCGCAGACTATGCGGACAAGTATAAGGGAAAGCTAATTTTGGTCATATTCCGCAGCCTAATAAGAGCTTATTCCGCAGAAGAAATGATAGCTATCATTGAGGGATTCGAAGCTGGTAAATCACATCAGAGTCTAGACGACAGCTTTATGC